CGACGCGGGGCTCAAACCCACAAACCGCGAGATCATGACCCAAGCGAAAGTCGGACGCTTAACCGAATAAGCCACCCAGGCGCCCCTAGGTGGTGGTTTTAAACTAATCTAATCATGTCAGTCTTTTATTGTATCTGGATTTTGTTTATACTTAGACATTTTCTACTCTAAGTTTAGAAATACATTTACCTCATCTCCACTCAACATACCTATGATATCATATATTTATTTAAATTTTTCATCCACTTGGAATTCCCTTTTGATGTAAGAGGTAAAAAAATACAGGTTGGGGTTTTTTTTTGCTTTTTTTTGGGGGGGGGTTGTAATGGCTGGTCAGTTTTGTCATCAACCTTTACTAAAAATCTGTTTTTTACCTCAGGCTTCTAAAGCCTATCTCTATCATATCCTTAATTCCCTAAGACTATATTTCTAGATGGGGTCCTTGTATGGTTTTGTTATCCCAGTAGATAGAAGTCAATGGATGGGTAGACCACAAGTCTGCAAACAATATAGACTCAATTCTCACTTCAAAGGAAGTGTTCTGATGATCATTCAATATTCTCCTTTCTTGAGCCAGTTAATTAAAAATGTTCTGAGCAACCACAAAGAGACAGGTGCTGGGCTAGCAGGAAGCAAGCAGCTCAGGGCAGTGTTAACAGAACGGACTCTGGAACCTGCTGGCCAGTGTGGGACCCTGGTTCCACCTCTCAAGAGCCACAGGACCTATCTGGGCACCACGGTCCTCCTCACAAGGTTACTGTAAGGGTTACATGAGTTAAGATATGAGAAGGGCTTAGAACCACATGTGGCACATAGTACCTGCTCAATAAATGCTATTATTATTATTATTATTACTGTTATTATTAGAGATGAAAAGAGGATTAAGAAGCCATTTCTACAGCTAGTCTCCTCATTTGATAGCGAAAAGGTGACAAGTGTCTTCTTTCCACCACCATGCTGCTTTACAGGAACCACTCTTATGTGTTCATCCTGTTGACTCTGCTGTCGACCAAAGCCCAGCAACCACCATCACCAGGTGCTGACTGCCGGCCGCCGCCGCAGCTGTGAGCATCCCAGACCAGGACCACGTTATGAAAGACAGAGGTTCCAGGAAGCGCCTCACTAGGACCCAGTGAGTGGCTGGCCAGGAAGGTGTGCAGCCCCCCGGAAGGCACAGTTAGGAAAGCCCTGAGCTCCCAGTGGACACAGGACCACCCAGGTAAGAGGGTGAGATGGGGAAGGAAGACTAGCCCTGAACTTCTGGCCTGTAAGGTGCTTCAGCGCTGCCTTCCAGGACTGCTGAAAATAGAAGGGCACTTACAGACAGGAAATGCCAAAGCCTGAACAACAGAGACGGTAACTCAGAGCCACAGAGTACAGGTGGCAGGTACCTCAAACACTCTCCTTCCTTTACCTTGAAAGTGCTGCGGACCTAGGGGGTGACAGTACAGGTAGGAGACACACAGCCTCAGGTATATTAATATTGGTTGTAACTGAGGCTCTGGAATGTTTTGTCTCATATTGGATTAGAAGCATCTAACATACTGAAAAATGATTAACCTAAATCAGCAGAGCTCTGTGAAACCCCAGGCTTCCTGCAGAAAAAGAAAGTGGTGTGTTTCTGCATCGAAAGTCTCTTGGTAAATTGGAGAAGTCATGAAAAAAACTACAAATTCTATCTATTGGCTTAATTTTATTTTTTTAGTGTTTATTTATTTTTGAGAGAAAGAGAGCATGCATGCATGTGCGTGCATGAAGGGGGCGGGGGCAGGGGACAGAGGGTCTGAAGCAGGCTCTGAGTCTGATGTCAGGCCTGTACCCATAAACTGAGTGACCATGACCTGGCCGTATGCTCAACCAACTGAGCCACCCAGGTGCCCCCCAAACCTGGCTTAATTTTTAAAATTCAACCTAGTGGGGGGCCCCCTGAGGGCTCAGTCAGCTAAGTGGCTCTTGATTTTGGCTTAGGTCATGACCTCAAGGTTCATGGATGGAGTCATACATCAGGCTCTGGGCTGACAGCATGGAGCCTGCCTGGGCTTCTGTCTCTCCCTCTCTCTCCCTGCCCCTGCCTTGATGCCCCTGCACTTCCTCACTCATACACTCTCCCCCTCAAAATAAATAAACTTTAAAAAAAAATTCAACCGGGGCGCCTGGGTGGCTTAGTCGGTTAAGCGTCCGACTTTCGCTTAGGTCATGATCTCGCGGTTCGTGGGTTCGAGCCCCGCGTCGGGCTCTGTGCTGACNATACAACCTGGTGCTCATCACAAGTGCCCTCCCTAATCCCCATCACCCAATTATCCCATCCCCCCACCCACCTCCACTCTGGTAATCACCTGTTTGTTCTCTATTTTTAAGAGTCTATTTCTTGGGGCACCTGGGTGGCTTAGTCGGTTAAGAGTCCGACTTTCACTTAGGTCATGATCTCGCAGTTCGTGGGTTCGAGCCCCGCGTCGGGCTCTGTGCTGACTGCCAGCTCAGAGCCTGGAGCCTATTTCAGAGTCTGTGTCTCCCTCTCTCTCTCTGGCCCTCCCCTGCTCACGCTGTCTCTCTCTCTCACTCCTAGAAATAAATTTTTAAAAATATTTAAATATAAATAAATAAATAATAAAAAAAATTCAACCTACTGGTTAGAATTATTATTTACTTAGAAAACAAAAATGTTCACATTAGACAAAAACCACCGGTTACTTTTTTAAAGAAAAGAAGAAGCACCTGAATACTTTTTTTTCTTCACTTCCTTATTTCTACACTGGGTTGTGTTTTTTTAAAGACCTTTTTAAGCAAGCTCTACACCCAACGTGGGACTCGAACTGACAACCCCAAGATCAAGAGTCATCTGCTCTACTGACCAAGCAAGTCAGACGGCCCTCCACATAGGGGATTTTAATCCTCTAGGCAAAAGCTGTACGTGAGAGCAATCAATTCAGAATAAACTGTTAGAGCAACATCACTGATGCAGAAGATAGCTTCTCGAAACAGTGTGAGAGCCCCACCTTTACTCCTTCTCAAAGGAAATGGCCTCACACGATCCTGGACAGCCACGTAGGAGGTGTTCAGCAGGAAGTGCAGATGTCCCCACAGTGAGCAAACAGACCTGAGAGTGCCCCAGCGCGGTGCAGGTGAAGCAAGTTGTCAGTCACCAACCTTTTCTTGAGGGTTTAAAAACAGTCTAAGATGGGGGTGCCTGGGTGGCTCAGCAGGCTGGGCATCCAACTTCAGCTCAGGTCATGATCTCATGGTTCATGGGTTCGAACTCCACATCGGGTTCCGTGCTGACGGCTAGCTCAGAGCCTGGAGGCTGTTTCGGATTCTGTGCCTCCCTCTCTCTCTGATCCTCTCCTGCTCACACTGTTTCTCTCTCTCAGAAATAAATAGAACATAAAAAAAAAAAAATTAAACAAAAAACAAAACAAAACAGTCTGAGATGCCCCCCAGGAAGTCTCTAAGCCAGGGGTCAGCACACAGTGCCCTCAGGCCCCCTAGGCCTGCTTTGTAAACACAACCACGCCTGTTCCTTTTATTGCCCACAGTGGGTTTGTGGCTACAAGGCAGAGTTGAAGAGCTGATCCAGATCTACTTACTGGGTTACTATGAGGACTAAACTGGTGAAAGACTTACTATCCGGCCCCTCAGAGAAGTTTGTCAACTCCTGCTCTAAACCATTAGGACTGAATGACCAGGTCCATTGCATTCTCCTTAAATTGCTCTAAAAACTCACCACGGAAGGACACAGAATCTCCTCCTCTCACTTCCTCAACCCCCAATTATAAACATGTTTTCCCCAATTCTAGAAGCTGACAGTTTATGAAGAAAAGACTTCATCATAGTGACTACAGTTAATGACACTGTACTGCATATTTGAGAGCTGCTAAGAGTACATCTTAAAAATTCTCACCACTAGGAAAACAGTTCTGTAACTGTGGTGACAAACGTATTGTGGTGATCATTTTGCAATAGGTACAAATACTATATACCATTACGTTGTACATCTTGAAACTAGCATAATATCACATGTCAATTACACATCAAAAAAAAAAAACTTTTAAAAAATACTTTAAAAGTTAATGAGCATATATAACATTACATAGTGGAAATAATCAGAGTGAGATGGATAAGTGAAATGAATGAGAGGAACCAAAATCCATTGTTTTTTCCAGCACTTGGAATTTTCTGAAGAAAGGCTGCCTCCTACATGGATGCCAAGACTACATCTTGGCAGGAACTCCCAAATTTTTCCTCCAGTTTCAGAGTTGGCAAACTGTAGCCCAAAGGCTGAATCCCGCCAGCCACCTGTTTCTGTATGCCGCCCGTAAGCCTAGTTTTCACAGTTTTTAATGGTGGAAAAAAATTAAAAGAATAAAATTTCATGACACATGAAAAGCACAGGCAATTAAAATGTGGGTGATCACAAATAAAGTTTTATGCGGACACAACCACTCCCATTCACATATGCCTGGTCTATGGTTGTCAGGCTATAGAAATTGAGTCTACCAGCAGGGCCTGTGCATCCCAGAGGGTACAGCAGATGTTCCACAGGGCTGGGGAAGAAAATCTTAGAAGTTATATTTTATTTTTATCCAAAACATGAGAGCAACTATGTTTCAGTAACATAACAATTACATAAAAATAACCTGCAAATATATATTATATGTATCCTAATTATACCACCATAAAATACTAACTGGTGCTAATAGAAGTAGAAACTAAATCTGCATCCTAAACCCCTATGTTGAAGGTCAAAGTCACCATTCTCTGAGATGCCTGAGGAGCACCTTGGAACACCTTGCTGAAGCACCAGGCACAGCGAGGTGGACTGACAAACTGTAACTAAACCAAATCTTAAAGAGGCTCTGAAGCTTTCAGATTCATGGAGAAAGCACAAATTAACATTACTGCAATAAACACGAGCAAACACAAGCCCGCCCCTGGGAAGGTGCAGGCTCCTATCCCTAGTCACTCAGCAGGAGCCACGTCACAAAGCAAAACCAATGATGACAGAATGGGACCTGACAAGAAACAGACCAAAAAATACTCAAAATTCAAGGAGTATTTGGAACAGGGCTTTACCTCCACTGCAGAAGCATGAATCCGGCCCTAACTGCACACCAGGCCTTGAGATACAAGACCATAATAACAGCACATGCACCTAACCTCTAAGTAATGGGCAGGGCAGTGCTAAAAACTGTTTTTATATTGAGATAACTGCCAGACAACACTGAATTAGTTTTAAGTGTTGTGTTTTTTTAATCATGAGAATAATCAAAAAAGTTGGGAAACCACAGTAAACTACAATCTGTATCACTACAATCATATAGTACTTCTATAGATATTTATCTCCGGTCAGACACTAACCAACCTTCAAAATCTTAGCTAGGGGAAGTTCTATTATCACAGCCCTGAAGGATTTTACAGAAAAATAAGATCAAGCTATTGCAACAATCTGAGAAGGCACGCATCTTTATTCTTTTAAGTGCACAAAATTTCTGTGTGAAGCAAAGTTGACTCTCTGGGAACTTGGTAAGCAGTTCTTAAAGTTCAAGCCAAGCCTTTTCACGTAATGGCATCGGTAATTGGAAAAGTCTAGAAGAGAAAATGACCACAACCTAAGAACATTTCTTGCAGGAGGAGGAAGGGGGCAGGCAACGGAAATACCACTCAACACTCTTCTGAAGTGAGACAAAAGTATATCAAGACCGTTCCTCCTACTTAAAAAAAAAAGTGCAAAACAGCCTTTTTTATTATTATTAACAACAACAAAAAAGAGGTGCTTTTTTTCCCCCATTATCCAAATAATGGATGTTATTTCTCACATTAGGTCATAAAAAAAAAGTAATAAAAATAATACAACTAAATTAAAGCCAGGGCATTGGGCCTCTCATCCCTCCCTTCCTGGCCTCTGGGAGCCACACGGCCTTCAAGCTCCCTCTCACTAAAGTGCCAGCCATGGGACCCTGCTCCACTCAGGCTGCTGGAAGTGATACCCCACCCTCCAAGTCTTCCCTGGAGAGCCAGCTTCCCCAGGCTCTGCCCTTCTCCCCTTTGTGCTTCAGATGCAGAAAGCCTGCCTGCTCAGAGGATTTTCAATAAGGTCAGCAGTTTCCTCCCTGCTAGGGGAAGGTGGCCACAAAAACCAACGGAAGATAGATAGCCTGGGCTGACACAGTCAACCATCCTTATTCTGCCCCACCCCTCAAAAAATAACATAAATACAAAATCTTGTCATTCCCCCACCAATAATGGGGTCCATGACCAGCAATCCGAAAGGAGATGGCATCCTTAGCTCCCAAAAGCAATGTCGTCCATATCTGATACCCTCCTGACCCCCTACCACCACTCCAGCCTCTCATTCTCGGTCCTTCATTTTTTAACATAACCAATAAAAAAGATGTGATAACCTCTCCATAAGAGATAAAGATATGTCTGGATGAGCTTTTCGTTTTCTTTAAACATCCTAAGAATTCACTGTCTGCTTGACCACTGATGCTTTAAAAATTGAGTTCTGGCCTAGGGACAGCAAGTCTTACCAAATTACTGGTTTCTTCATTCTTCACAATCACATGAGCTAAATCTTCTATAACACAAGCAGGAGGAGCTAGAATGCCCTAGGAGACACACAAAGACCCGACCACCAAGAGATTCCGGCGCTACCCAGGTCCCATGCTCCAAAAATTTCAGAAATACTAAAACTGACTAAATTTGAGTCAATCTGATGGCCATGAGCCAAACAGAGTCACCAGAATGCTGTTAAATATTTCATCAGGCTGTAGGACATCTTAATAATCCAGCCCTAGTAATGTCCCTCAACATCTGTGGAATTTTGAGCTGTAGGGCCTGAAAGACCCCAACCCAGACAAAGGAAATCTCGGACTCGTGAAAGCCACACAAGTTTGGTCACGCAAATTTGGGAAAGGGCTCTCTGAAAATGACCAGCAGCATCATGGCATTCCCAACACAATGGTTCTCAAATTCCGCTAAAAAGAACATTCACCAAATATTTTCTTACTGTGTTTTACCGAAACAGAGATCATTACAAACAGCACACAGGGTGTGAAACAACTATGTATAAACCCAGGAGACTATCTTTACAGCAGAGCAAAAGTTCTCTGGATGCTCCACACAAGCCAAAGGTGAGAAACACACGCCAGGGAGGGAGCCTGGAGCTTCCCGGAGTCGGGCTACGGATGCGCTGCGGCGGCTCGGGGCCCAGGGACCCGGCGCCCAGCTCCCGGTCACCTGCCTGGACGCGACCGCTGCCAACGTGTGCACCCGCGGCGCCCGAGCGCCAGGGCGCGGAGGCGAGCGGCGCGCCGCGGACGCCCTCCCTCCGCCGGCGCGGGTCACGCCCTCGGTACCGGCACTAGTGCGACTTCGGGGCTGCGCGCTTTTGACTTCGGATGCCGACGCTCGTGACAAAGCGGAGAACAAAAAAGAAAGGCCCCGCGCGTCCCAACTGGCCTCCGCAGGGGCAGAGAGCTCGCACTGCCCCGCGCGGCGGCCGGGGGTCCGGGGGCCGAGGCGGCCCCGCGGCGAAGCCTCGGGCCGCGAGCGGGCTCCGGTGACAGGCTGCGGCCCGGGCGCAAGGCGGGGGATGTCTCCAGACGCGGGCGGTGCGCCGGGGACGGACCGGGAAAGGGAAGGCAGCCGGGGCGGCCGCAGAGCCAGGACACGCGCACCGCGCACTCACCTCCTGCCGCGGCTCCGGCGGCCGATCGGCGCTACGGGCCCGGCTCCCCGGCCGCCTGCCGCTCCCCCGCCGCCGGCCTCGCGCTCTCGCCCGCTCCACGCCGTGCGCCCCGCGCCGCGCCCAGCGCCGCCGCGTCTCCGGCCTCCGCAGCGGCGAGTCCCCGCCCCCGGACCGCGCCGGCAGCGTGGGGAGGAGGCGGCGCCGCGAGCGCAGGGAAGCCAGGCCCGGGCCGCCCCCGGACGCCGGCCCCACGGTGCGCGCGCGCCGCCCGCCGCCCCTCCGCCCCCGCCTCGGCCCCGGCCTTCCGGAGACCCGTGCGGGACGCGGCTCGGCGGACGGCCATCCGGCGGGCCCGACGTTCCCGGAGAGGAGGCGCGAAGGTGGGACGCGGCGGCGCGGAGCCATGGGACGTGGGGGAG